GTTGTTGTGAGGAATTTTTTGGCAATTGAGGGCAAACGGGCAATTGAGGGATTTTTGGGAATTTTTTGAGGAATTTGTTGTGAGGAATTTTTTGGCAATTGGAATTTTTTGCCAAATCTGGGTTCTGTAGAACATGGAAGGAAGAAAAACAGTAACCGATGGGCAAAGATGGTGATGTGGGACCCATTTGAATGTATTTGGCACGATTTTACCAGTTAGCATGTGACATGGCACATGTCATCACTTTTTTAAGTTTTGCTCTCCACATTATCAAAAAAAATATAAAAAATGCGACCTAAGCAAGGTTAACTGCCCAAATTAACAGAAAGACTAATGGAGTGCATTTTGTATAGTTGAGGGATCGAAAAAGTGCAAAAAATTGTTGAGGGATCAAAAATGTTCATTTCTTAAAGTTAAGGGACCAAATCAAGCATTTAACCAAAAAAAAATCTCATGAGTTTGGGATAAGTGTTAATTTAAATTCTAATTAAATACAATTAGTACAAACAAATTTGTCTTCAAATACGTATCTCATGAGTGGGATAAGCCATTTATTGAATTTACTGAATGATCTTATTAAATCACATTCGAATTCATATGTTAACATATGCAATTGAGTACATAAAACAATTTGAGAAAATAATTCTTAAAAAAATAATAAAGGAGATGATGATAAAGAATTTTTGATATATCAAGTTTAAAAGTGTTTTTTATATTTATTTTTACAATTAAGTCTTAATATCCCTCTTAATAAAAGAAAGGTTAAATGCTAAATTTGGTCCCTCAACTTTAGTGAGTTGCACATTTTTGGTCCTTCAACAATTTTTTGCACTTTTTTGATCCCTCAATTATACAAAATGCACTCCGTTAGTCTTTCTGTTAATTTGGATCGTTAACTCTGCTTATGTGGCATTTTTTATATTTTTTTTTTATGATGTGGAGGGCAAAATTTAAAAAAGTGATGATGTGCACAAAACCTTTTGCCATGTAATGCTACCGTGGCCAAAACGCGCCAATTCCGTCTAAGTGGGTCCCACATCACCACTAAAAATTGCTTCTGTCCATTGATTATTGTTTCTGTTCTTTCCATCGACGAAGAATTGCTTCTGTCCATTGATTACTGTTTCTGTTCTTTCCATCAACGATGTTCTTTCCATTTTCAAGATTGAAATTATTTAAACAATACTTCAAAAATATGAAGAAAAAAATCCCAAAAATCACTCGTAACAACTTGCAATTTGAATAATCTCTTGATAAACAAACATATAACAAAAAAAAAAAAAAAAGTAGAGCTGGGTTCGCCGGAACTGAACTTGGGTTTGGTAGAACAGGTTCCATCGAACCCAGCTCAATTCACTGTAATTCAGTTGTCCAAAAATCCCTCGCAACAACCTGCAATTTGGATAATCTCTTGGCAAACAATCATATAACAAAAAAAAAACCAATTGCCCAAAAATCCCTCACAACAACCTGCAATTTATATAATCTATTG